TGGTTCCATTTCCGAACCTTTTGGGGCAGGCCCCGAAAAAAAACCTAAACCGATTTTTTCAAAAAAATGTCCACAACAGCCCCAACGGCTGAAAAACAAAAAGTTGGCGGTGGACGCCCTGCACGCCCCATGACCTTCACGCTTCGCCTCGAGGCGCTGACGGCCATCAGGGACGCCCTGACTAGGCGTGGTGGTACGCTGACCCTTGTAACTCAAGTGAAGAGCGCGAAAAAGTATCGTCTCCAGCTGACAGCAGACCTGTCGGATGGGTCCAGCAGCATGTGGCGCAGCGACTACATCAAGTACCCAAAGGGACAAACCAAGGCACGTGACTGGTCGGCCGAGGCAAAGTGGGCTGCTGCCTGGCGGCCATCTTCTTCTAGCGGCAGCGCCGTTCTCTCCACAGAAGATGCGAGGCGTGGCAGCAACGACACACCCCCGCCGCCGCGGGGAAAAAGGCCGCGAGACTGTCAGCCTGCGGCTGAGATCCTCACACCACCTCCAAAGCGCCCAGGATACGAAGGGGCTGGCCGACCGAAGGGAACCTTCGGCCGGAAGAGGTTGCGCGCAATGTTGGATAGATACAGAGAGCGAATCGAGCTTGGCCAGGTGACCTGCGGCCGCTTGGAAGTGCGGGACCTCTCCAGCGCGATGTTGGATGCGGCGCAAGAGGTGGAGAAACATGAGCAGGACTGGCGACCGGCGTTTCTCAAGCGCCAGAGCAACAGGGGTGTGTGTAGGAGAGAGGCTCTGCGCAAGCTCGCAAAGCATACGACGGTCATGACCGTGAAGACGTGCTGAAGTACCGGGTCGAGACGTATCTCCCCGCTTACTTCGAGCATCGCGACTACACGGAGATCTGGATCGACGCGAGCATGGAGGAAGTTCGATCCTGGGAGGTGGAAACGCAGCCGAGGGACATGAAGGAGGACGGGCGTGTTTGGGTTTGCGTGCATGCCTTCGCAGAAACCCTCTCCGAGTTCCATCCGGATCTACGAGCGAGGGTCACCAGCAAGAAAAAGTACGCCGATGGCAGAAGAGCGATATTTTGCTACCAGGACGAGTGCATCTACAGGGCCCACGACGGGGAGAGCAAGGCGTGGTGGCCGCCGATGATGCACGGGCTGAAAAAGAAGGGAGAAGGACAGGGCATCATGATTTCCGGCACCATCGTGGGCGACGTCGGATTCGTCGAGGGCACTCAAGACGACATCGACAAGGCCCAAGATCTGCGGCGCGAGCGCTGCCGCATTTCGGAGGAAAAGCACGCAGCAGGTGATCACACCAGGCCGGAAAAGTACCGCGACATCAACATGCTCTACTTCGAGGGCGAGGGCGACGACCGCAAGTTCTCGACGTACTACAAGTTCGAGTACGGCAAGAACAAGGAGGGCTACTGGACAGGGGAGAAGATGATCGAGCACATGGCGGATGTGTTGGATCTGTTGGCCGTCAAGTTCCCGAGGCACAGGCCCATCTGTTTTTTCGACTGGTCATCGTGTCATGATTGCGTTGAGGAGGGGGCACCGAGTGTAACTAGGATGAACGCAGGGTACGGGGGGGTGAGAAAGGGTCAGGAGATAGCTCCTCAGAATGCAACTACCATACTGGAAGACACACCTAAACTGAAGGTAGGGGCGGTGCAGCACCTCACCTTCCAGCAGGGAGAGTATCCATTCTATGAGCCAGGCGCCACCGATCACGTAGGCAAGGTCAAGGGGATGAAGCAAATCCTGTTTGAGAGGGGGCTTTGGATCCCAGGTATGACCATGTCGGGGGGCAAGAAGGGCCAGGAGCCTAACAAGAAGATGAGCATGCCGGCGGTGTTGCGCGCGCAAAAGGATTTTGCGAACGTCGACTCTAGCCTAGAGGTTCTGCTGAAGCGCCACGGAGGGGTTGCGCTCATGCTTCCAAAGTTCCATTGCGAGTTGAACCCGATCGAGCTTGTGTGGGGTAGATCTAAGTGGTGGGTACGTAGGAACTGCAAGTACACTATCGCGTGCTTGCGAGAGAACGTTTCTAAGAGCTACGGGGTACACAACTTGAGCCTAGACATTGTTCAAAAGTTCTGCAGGAAGGTGGCCAACTTCCACGCGGTGTACGACGCCGGGCTTACGGGCGCCGAGGCGGTAGAGGCGCAAGAGAAATGCAAGTCGCACCGTAAGCCAGCTCCATCCGAGTACATTAACCCCAAGTAGTGTATGCTATGATCGCGGCGGTACGTATGTACGGGGTTCGGAAGAACGACCTCGAGTTTGGCTTCGGTCGGTGCCATTTTTTCCAGGGAGTTCGTTGTGTTTTTTTTTTCGCCCAGACCGGCTGCGTTTCCCGGTCAATGAGATCGGTATTGAGCGTGATGTACTACTGTATGTATGTACATACTGTACTGTATGTATGTACATACTGTAGACTAACGTGTATTGTGTACGATTGTGAAAGTAGACGAGTGTAAATAGCGAGGTTTCCCGACGATGAAGCTAAAACAACCAAACATCACGCGTTGCCACCTAGTTTTGCGACCGGAAAAGGGGGGTACAATATCTTGTGCCCCTCTTTAAATGGGTATATATAGTAATAAAGTCTTTGTATTTATTTTTTTAGGGCGCCATCGTGTTCGTCTGGTCAAACCCCGCCGTTAGCAATCAAGAACAAAAAAAAACGACATGATTATGACAGCGTTTGGCGAGATACTGGCCGAAACGTTTCATCCCCTCCTCCCAAAAAACGCCTGGAAAAACCTATATGAGAACCACGAATTCTCAGGAACGTCTCAAATCGATTTGGTCCCCGAACAACTATTGTGGCATTTGCGACGGAGATCAACACTAAAAAAAAATAAAATGAAAAAAGTTAATATTGATGAAGTTATGGCCGGTCAACTAAAATCGGCGGGACAATCGTTGGAACTGTATCTAAAAAGGCAGGCTCAAATTTGGGCCAATATATAATACTTCGAGGTATAATTTACGCACAAAAGAAACACACCTCGGCAGTGGATCCCACACCAAACTCTTATTATAATGAAGTCCCTATGCTTGATGGTGGTGATGAAATACGAAACTGAGTCTCGAACCCAAATCGACATTTCTTAAACGCGAGCGCTAAGCGCTTGTAGCTCTCGCTGGGTACCTCCCAAGCCTTCGCTCGAGAGAAGACGACGACAGCCGAGTGTCGCCTCTTCGTGGGGTTTGATTTCATCTGTGCTAACAAGCGTTTCAAAACCCAGCCCACACGTACATAGACAAATGCTGCATGGAGAGAGGCTGCGAAAGTAGTACAGAGTCGAACGCTCTACGTGTGAGACCGAAAACTGCTTTGTGTGTACAGCAGTGGTGCCGGACGCAGGGCGCTGGGCACAAACATTAACGTTGCCGCTACTGCTGTCTGCAAGGGCTAGGAGCAAGCGGACAATAACAGGAAAACACCCTGAAGAAGCCGGGTGCCACCAAGCGCGAACACCATGAAGTGGAGAGCAGTCCAGAGTGAGTTCTGCCCGACAAATTACCCAGACGTAAAGTCACAGCAGTTTATCTCAATGTAGCGCTTGATCGCCATACACGGGCATGGCAAGCTTATGGGCGTGTGTCCCTGTCGCGGAGTTCGCGCATTTTTTCATTTTTTCGGTGAATAGCCTCCCATTGTCAAAGCCTTTCATGTCACCCTCCATCACTCCCCGAACCAAATTTACTTACCTTGAGATTATTCCCGACCCAACTCGGACCCGCGTGTACTGAAGGTCAGCCCCTACTACCTGCTACTGCTGTACACGGTAGGACACATCGGCAATCCACATGCAGCCGCAGCCACGGCCCACCCCATCTTCCCGATCGCGTGCCCCCCTTGATCAATGGCTCTCCTCCAGCAACGACGCACACACGTTCGGCGCAGCCAAGCAAGGTCGTTGCTAGACGATATTGCGTTGGTACCATGCAATCGTTGATCAGGAGGCTTGTTCCTGGCGTAAATTCCAGGTATGTACAAGTATGTTTGCGTGAAAATGTTTATGTTTGTGGGGAGTGCGCAGAACAAGCTGACAGTCCCGGTTGTGCCAACCAACGAGATTTGAAAGGTTCTACACTTCAAGTACGTTAGGGCTCCGCCAGAAGACGCTCGGTCTACTGTTCGACGTTTGTAGCTGCTGTACAACCCGTCGCGGGCTGCTGCGGATCTAAAAGACGTTGATTTCCATGTGTATACACCAACACCATACTTCACTCCGATGTTTACTGGTGTGGGACATATGTGAAGCGTAAACCAGGCAGTAGGACAGGTCGCCTCCTGTAGACAAAGTTAAGTCCATGCAAGTACTACTGCAGAAGTGGTGATCGTCGTCTGCTGCTGAAGCCCACTCATCGTGGCCAACTGGTCTACATGAGAAGTACGACCACTCATGGCCCTTCTGGCTGTCACTCATGGTGTGAACCCGCATCCGAAACCCCGTCTAAATTCCGGCTGGTCTTGAATTTTAAACTTTTTGGTGGACACGTGGACACGATAATCTTGTCTTCCGTGTTTAGTCTACTTGTACAGCAGTTGGCAGCGATACTTTCAGACTCAGGCCACCGTAGGTTGTGAAGATGACAAGACACCTTGGACAGACTTTCAGAGCTCGATGGCTCTGCAACTAAAACGGTGACGATGCAGGAAATGGTAGCGCTGGAACCGTCTCGTCGAGAACTTTCCGAAACCTGTTCATTCGATTTGGCATCCTCTTGCATCGCATCGTGGATTAACCGAGCTTTGAGACTCGGTCATGGGGCGTGTGGTATCTTATTGAACCTTCAGCACGTTGTGCAATACAGGTGCATTCATTGAGCGTTGGTGCCGCACTCTGTGTTGAGAGGCTCGACAAGGCTCGACGCTCGTTTTGTATGTTTTACAAATCTTCCTTCTATCTAACCTTGGTAAAATGCTGAAGAGCGGCGAGCCTTGGCGGGCCCTTTTACCCCGTGCTGATTGGCGCATTTTGAACCCCACCCTACGGTGCAATGCCACCACAATCCGCAGGAAAATCCTGGCGTGCGTTTTACCACCACCACCAGCAGGAGGAACAAGACGAGCAGTCACTTGTTTCTCGGCCCCTTCCGCCGCCGCGCCGACAACAGCACCTCCTACACCACGGTACCACCACCACCAACGACGACAACAGCGACAACAGCATCAACGACAAAGCAGGAATCTAACTTCGTCGGGCAGACACCAAGCACCTCGTGCCGTTCCGAAGAGCGTTCTACCCCGACGCAGCAGCACCGCATCCGAGGCAACAGCAGCAACAGCAGCAGCAGCAGCAGCAGCAGCAGAACAGCAGGAGGGTTCCCCCGCTAACGCCGGCGGCGGCGCCCCCCCGTTCCCATCAGTTTCACGGGTTGATCCGGCAGCCGCGGAACAGGAGACCGCTATTAAGCTAATGAGCCGAGAGGGGAAATGGGAGAGCGCCCTGGAAATGCTGCAGTGCATCAGGTTTGGGGGTTGGGATTTTCCTCGTTGGGGGTGCTGCCGCTCCTGGCGTTGTTTTGTTGGGGAGGGAGTTGGACCCCTCCTGAGATTTGATGGACGGTGTATTTGTACTGCCCTTCGGCCTTACGAGGGAGGAGGTGCAGCCTTGCATGAGCATGCTGGCTGTGCGCGCGTGTTGACTGTCTCGAAGGTGGTCGACGTGTGATTGTTTTCGTGTCTGCGATGTGCTTTCCACGGCATGAATAGAGGGAGGAGTCAAGCCTTGCATTTACGTATGATCACGGAGAACGAACCAGACGTTATTTTGTTGGCGCGCGTCTTTCGTGCTTGCGCTTGTGTTGGTCGTTTGACCAGATCGCGTTTTTGTCTGTTTCGTTGCGTGCCTTGCTCGGCAGGGATAAGGGGATGAAGCCTTCCATGTCGACCCACATGGACGTGATCGGCGTGTGCAGACGAGCCCTGGAGTGGGACCAGGCATCCAAAGCCTACAGGTGTGCTCAAGTTGTTATTGGTGTTGGTGGGGTGGTACCGTTGTGTTGTTGGTGGTGGTAGGGTTGGTGCTTGTTGATTTTGCTGGTGACGGTGGCGGGTGTTTTTGTTTTTTTGTTGCTATGGTTGCTGTTGTCGCTGATGCTGGTGCTGTTGTTTCTCACCCAAGGTCATCGCCAAAACAAATACGGAATGCACCCGTACCCCCATACGGCGTTTGTTGACGCGACTTGTGATGAACGGGATCACACTCGCCTCCCTACACATATCGGTACGGTTACCCCACCCTGTCCTCACGGTTCCACTCGAGATCTACGAGATTTACGTATTGCCTCTCGTGGATGCTAGTGTCACCGCTGCGTTCCGTGCCTGTCATCCGCTTTCCTTGACCTGGAAGAGAGATGATAGAGGCGCATCTGACGGATCACCCATTCGACGACATGGCCTGCCAAGACTACGAAGACGAGTCCAACCACGTGTTCGCGAGGGCTTGCGGGATAGTGGCGGGGATGCAGGCCGACGCCGGTATCAAGCCGAACAACGGTACTTACAGGTGAAGTAGACAAAGGGGCGTCGCCTTTAACTTGGTACTGCTGTATTTTCACGAGATAACACCCCCCGGTACTAACGTTTTCGGCCTTCGAAATGTTGTCAACGGGGTGTGGTATATTCCGTAGTATATTCCGTAGTATATTCCGTGGTGGGGGTGGTATCTTCGTTGACCCTGTTTCTTGCTTCACGAGCAGTTTTTCGCTTTGGAATTACGTTGAGCCACAAAATTATTTCACCAGATGTGGCGTGTTGTGGGAGGGGGGGGGG